CCCAGGCTGGTCTCAAACCCATGGGCTCAGGCAATCCTCTCATCTCGGCCTCCCAAAGTGTTGGGATTATAGGTGTGAGCCACCACGCCCAGCCAGAAATGATTTTATGGAAGTAAGATTAATTTTTAAAATGGTCTTCTAGAGTTAGAAGTGATTCTGGAGGTTATCTGGTCTACTGGGTTTCTCAGCTAGATTTCTATCCAGGCCTCAGTAGCTTGAAAAGATGGAGAGTGCTGGCTGTCCAGAGGAACCTGTTCTGATACTTAGTAAACCTTTTAGCCCTACTTATGGTCAAAGAGATTATAGCTATTGTTCCTTCCTTGCCTATGTGGCCACTTGATCACAGAAGGAAATTAATTGGCCTGGCATGATTTGCCTTTTGAAAAGTCACACTGGTTTCCACCCAATACTTTGTGCTTTTCAAGTTGATGCTAATTGATTGATGTTAAGTTCTGTATTTTCCCCATATTGAAGTTAAGCTGACAGGTCTATAATTACCAGGATTGTCCTTTTTCCCTTTTTAAAAAGATGAGCACTTCATTTACCCTTTTTCAGTCTACAGGGACTTTCTTTATCCTCTTGAGTTCTCAAAAATAATCACTAGTAGCTATGTAATAACACCTGCCAATTCCTTAAGTACTCTTCGAAGTATGTCATCAGGCCCTGCTGATTTGCCTAAAGCCGGCTTTTCAAAATACTTTTTAACCATTTTATTCCCTATTCTAGTTTGCACTGACTAGACTGGCATTGTTCTGATAATTGAATCCCCAATGATTTTTTTTTTTGTCATTTAAGATCCAAGAAGTCTATTGTTTTCCAGTCATTGTCATGAACTACTTTTCCTGTCTTTGAGGTGTTAAGTGAGTTATTTTCTTGGAACTCTAGTTGAGCCTTACATCACTAGATAGGTTTATCTGTTACTTTTTATGTCTTCTACAAATTGCATTTCTTCTACTTATACTGATAGAGCATAGAACTGTGTGTTTAAATCATGTGCATTTCTTTTAGATGCATCTCTGTGGTTTAGATATTCTTACCAGTGACCTCTGTTTACCTGACATTCACCTTTTAAAAAAATAAATATTTTAGAATAATTTTTGATTTACAAAAAATTGCAGACGTAGCCCAGAATTTCCGTATGTTCTTCACACAACTTTCCCTAAGGTTAGCATCTGTCCAAACTAAGACGTTAACGTTGGTAAGCTTTTATGAACTATATTTTATTGAATTTCACCAGTTTTTCCACTGATAGGTTTTTTTCTGTTCCAGGATTCCATCCAGGATCCCACAATGCATTTAAGATATTCACTTACATTTTTTTTTTCATTCCCTGTGGTTCAAAATGATATGGTATGATAATTCCCATCAAGAATCTACTAATCTTTACATATTCAACTAATTACTTTGATTTGCAGGAAGGAAACTTGCCTTATATAATTTTATGCTAAAAATAGTGTCTCTCATACACTTTAAAGATTAGTTTAACAATCTAAGCTCTAGTGAATATCAGGGCATGCTCCCTACGGCACCATCAAGGAATGGAGCCTGGGAAATTGCTCAAATTTTATCATTTTATTATGATATCTCTGTTGTTCTTTTCTCCTTTCACTTTAAGTGAGACACTCTTTTGGTTCCTGGGCAGGGCCAGGGTTAGAGCCAAGGCTAAAGCTAAGCAAGTGAGGTGCAGATTTGAAGGCAGCACTCAGGCTTAGGGTTGAGTGCAGGCTGACACCTTCAAGCGAGTGCAGGCTGGCACCTGAAGAGAGAGTGCCCATGAACTTTGCACTCTAGACTCCTCACTTGCTTCTCTCTAGTCCCTGCTCTGTTCCTGGGTTTTGGAGCACAATGTACTCTTGATTTACAAGATCGTGTCATTTTCTTTCCTAGCACCCACCCCTTCCCTGCCACTACGTTTGTTATGCATAGCAGCTGATACACTGTTTTAATCCTCTCACATAACTGCACCACAACTTCCTGCTCATTACTCCAGCTCCTTGTTAGACAGCAGTCAAAATTTCAGAACGTCTTGGGTTTCCCCGCTTTTCCCATATTACATTGGAAGGCAGATCTTAAAGGGGTTTTCTGAGTGGATGAGTAGGTCTCCATCTAATTGTATATTTGTATGCGTACTCTGCAATTTAAATTCTGCACTAAGTGCTAGGAAAAAAAAAAAAGAACCTACTTTAAAGCTTGTTTCAAGCTGTTAGACCTTCTTCTGGGCAATTAGAATAATAAAATGCGATTTAATATCGTCCTCCTTCCAAGTTGTCAGGTACACTTGGAAGCCACATGGTTTTCCCTGACTGAAGGAATAGGTAAATTCACGACAGCAAAGGTGAAAATATCCTAAAATGTTAATATTTAGAAAGAATTATGATAATCTTCCTAAGATCCATTTAGGAAACCAATGGATTTTTTTAATATTTGTGATTTCCTGAGGGAAGGACTGCAGTGCTCGGTACGATGAGGTAGAAATGCTTTGTTGGTAGCATTTTTAGGGCATTGCAGAGGAACAATTTGTGGTTTCTATAGTGAGGTGGTTGGTCCTGGGAGAACTACAGACACAATGAAAAGAGACCAACCAGATCCTTGACAACAGAGGTTGTGGAACACACTGATAGCTTTCACAGCCTCCAAGAGGATAACTAGGGGGTTCAGCAACAGATCTGTGCAGCCAGTAACTGCTTTATATTTACGGAGAATTCAAGTCACTCAATGGAAATGAAGACCTCAAGTAAGGAATTCTTGGAAACTCAAAGTGTTTAGAGAGCTGTGGGAAGATATCTCCCAGCTGGCTTCCCAGCTTGGATAGACAAATTTAGAGACTAAATTTAGGCTAAGAGTTTCCAAAGAAAGAAAACCTCAGGCTGAAACACAGTTGCCTCATCTGATGAACTGCCAGGAGACTATAGAAAAGTATTAGTTCAAGATCAGTCTCCAGAAAGATGATCCTGCCAGGAGGTCTTAATGTTCACACATATGTAGGATCAGAGTTACTGAGTGTCTTGGCTGGGCACTCCTGAAAGCAGACTCTGTGGCAAGGAACTAGGTGTCTAGTAGTAATTCACATGGGAGGTGATCTTAGGAAACTCTGGTAGGGGAGACTGAGACAAGGAAGGGAAGGAAACTGATAAAGGGTATGTCATCAAGTCAGTTACCACTGTGGGCTAGTCCCATTGAGAAACTCTGAAAGGGAGCAAAGGGTATATGCCTCGAGTGATCTCTGACTAAGAAAAAAAGGAAAATAGGTTATTTAATCAACCTTCTCCCCATCTGTTATTTGTTAAGGGCTGCTTCTGAGAGCATCAACTCTTCGGCACTTCAGCTTGTCCTGTGATGGGTTCTGGAATCCAGAAGAAAAGCTCACGGGTAGTGGCAATAAAGAGCACCTGTGACAATGATGGACAATGATCTCTCTGGACAGGTATTTCCATGGTTGACTTAGACGTTTGTCTGAGGTCCATTAGGAAAAGCTTCTCACCTTGCATCACTTCAATCTGGTATTTTCAAGGCAATGGGCTATAAATCCAGGTGTGAAAGGTCAGATGTGCATGACCTTGGAGAGAACTAGATTGAAAAATCCTGAGGACAGAAATGGCATTATCCATGTGTATATGTGTTAGGGTGTGTGTCTATTTCTCTCTCTTTGCTTGCTCAGTAAGTACTCGTGAATGACCAATGGATGAACTTTCTATTATTCCCACCCGAGGGAGCAGAGGTGGAAGTCAAGGGAACAGAGGTAGGTAGCTGCTGCTGAATCCCTTACATGGCTGCTATTTCCTATCACCTCCTCCGCACAGAGCTGATTCTCTTGCAAGGTCTTCCCTTGTCTCTTGCAGACATCATGCAGATTCTTAATGTCAAGTTGCAGGCTCAACAGCTTGCTGTTCAGGCTGCTCACTTCTCTGTTTCTCTCCCCTGCCTAGGCAACCGGAAAAACAAAAGCATCAATTATAGGCTATCAAGAAAATGCTTACTTTCGTTCACTTAACAGGTTGACAGAGACTTTAAATTTGCTGGAAATTCGTCCATCAACCCTTAGCTGTTATTACTCATCCTGTGTAACATTTACACAGTTTCCATTTGCCAGGTATCTGAGTGCTCTGCATTATTCAGACAATTACTTATTTATATTAATTAATCTTCACCTCACTGCTGGGGGTGCATCACAGACAATTCCCCGTTTTTCAAGAGGAAGTCAGTGCCTAGAGTAATTCCAGTAGACTGTCTATAAATATTTATGGTTCTGCCACTGATGAAGTGAACATATTGAGATGTCAAATGGACTTGTCAAGTATAGTGAATCAGTGATGGAGCAGATGTGAGACTCTGATGTCTCTTACTTTTGTACCCACTAAACTGAAAGATCTCCCTCACCTACAAACCCAGTGCTTTTCTTTGGAGGCATTCATCAATGGACACAAAAGTGAAATTCCTGGGTTGGTGACATAAGATCCCTGAGTGAAAGGGATTAGCTAATTGTTGTTAGGTCATCATGGAAGGTCATGATTGAGATTAAAAAAATGGCGAATGTAGCTGGGCTCGGTGGCTCAGCCTATAACCGCAGCACTTTGGAAGGCTAAGGCAAGTGGATTGCCTGAGCCTGCAGGTTCGAGATCAGCCCAGGCAACTTGGCAAGATCTTGTCTCTACAATAAATCAAAAATTAGCCAGGCATGGTAGCACACACCTGTAGTTCTGGTCACTTGAAAGGCTAAGGCAGAAGGATTACTCGAGCCCAGCAGGTCGGCGCTGGGGTGGCCATGAGTGTGCCACTGCACTCCAGCCTGGATGATGGAGTAAGACTCCAACTCAAAACAAACAAACAACAAAACAAAACAAAAATGGAGAGTGTGGAGTGTAGCACCTTTGGTTGGAGTGGGGCTCCATCATACCAGAATGCCACTTTCCACTCCCAGAGCTGTGGGTGGCAATGACATGAAAAGAAATTGGGAAGAAGTCCTCTGTGACCCTGTGCAACTTCAGTCCTGTCACTGTACTAGCTTTTCCCAACTCTTGTGAGGACAAGTGTTACCACTTCTGAGTTTTAGATCTAGAACTGAGGCTGGTGCGTTTATGGTAGTGCCTGTCTCTTAGATTAGATTACTCAGAAGGTTCTTAAGTGAGGATTTGTGGCATCTGTTTTTTTTCAAGAGATGAGGTCTCACTCTCACCTAGGCTGGAGTGCAGTGGCACAATCACAGTTCACTGCAGCCTCAAATTCCTGGGTTCAAGCAGTTTTAGCCTCCCAAGTTTCTAGAACTACAAGTACACACTGGCTATTTTAAAATTTTGTGTAGAGATGAGATCTCACTATGTTGCCCAGGTTGGTCTAGAACTCCTGGCCTCAAGCAATCCTCCTGCCTTGGCCTCCCAAAGCACTGGGATTACAGGTATGAGATACCACATTCAACCTGTGGCATCTATTAAAGAAACACTCCCAAGAGAAACCAGCAAGGAAGAAGGGAAGCAGGAAAAAAACAAGCACAGACACAATTTCAAAGTCCTGTGGTCAGTAGCTTTAGCCTGACCCCACAGGGAACTCTGGAGTATAAGTTACACATCAGAATCTGTCCTGATTGGTGGCAATAAAATCTATGCTGTCAAGCTTGGCATCAGTCAGCCAATGGCCAACACCTTCCCCGTGGGACATAAGCTCCCAAGGACTTCCAGCTCTCTGTTCCTGTAGGCAAAGTGACCTCAATAGTCTAAGGGCAATTCTTCTAAAGAGTAGGAGCTACAAAAAGCATACAGAAGACAGGGGACACGTGCACAGAAATGGTGAAGAGATGTAAACCACCGTGCCCATGGTCTCAAATCTGGTTAGCAGTAGGGCCAGGAGAACATGTTCTTCCTGAGTCTGTAGTTAGTGCTCTACTACCATGTGGAACAGACTGGTCTGGCGCCCAGAATAGATGAGCTATATAACACACATTCGCAGGGAAACTGGAGACCTGATATGGATATCGTCAATCAAGCCTTACTGGACAGGTCAGTTTAAAAGACCCTGCACAAGGCTGAGGGGGCCAGAGGACAACGATGAGAATCGGACACTGCAATGTCAGTGTATTCGGAATTCAGAAGGTTTCCCAGAAGTGCTGCTGTCTCAGCTGATTTATTTCTTCATTTCCATTTAGTACCTGGATTTTTTTTTTTACCACTTTACAGTTTAATTAGGTTAACGGCATGGCTCTGTCATTAAAAAGATTTCATTATCTCAAAACTCTCCCTCCTCCCTCTTGCTCCCATCCCTCATTCCTCACTTCCAGAAAAATAACAGTGGATGTCAACTGCCCCAAGCATGTAATTACCATTAAGACAATTACTAGGGACTCTCTTAAGAAAATGTATGTAGAGTGGCTTAAAAAAAAAGAGATGTACAGGCACTGTTCTCTAACTTGAAAACAAAATCATTGACTTGATAAGGAGTAAGTGTTGATTCTCATGCCTTAGGTTCCCTTTTCTCATGGTTGCCACACTGGGAATAGGGTATGGAGCCTCTTGGGAAGTGGGACCTCAAGGATCCTTCCCGCTCTTGCCACAAGACCATCTTTCTTTGGCATCTATGAGCAGATGAGGTGACAGCACAATGTTGGCTCAGCAGGAGCACCAAATGCCTTGATGCTGAATACATATGTCCTAAGAAGGATCATGTCACCAGATTGTTCCCCATGGAACCTAGCACACTGAGGGCTCACTAACAAAATACCAATGAGTCTGGGCACGGTGGCTCATGCCTGTAACCCCAGCAATTTTGGAGGCCGAAGTGGGAGGATTGCTTGAGCTCAGGAGTTCAAGACCAGCCCCTGCTACATAGCAAGACCTTGTCTCTACAAAAAAAATTTAAAAATTAGCCAAGCATGGTGGTGTGTACCTGTAGTTCTTCTAGCTATTTGGGAGGCTGAGGTGAGAGAATTGCTTGAGCCTAGGGGATTGAGGCTGTGGTGAGCCATGACCATGCCACTGTATTCCACCCTGGGTGACAAAGTGAGACTTCGACTCAACAAAATAAAACAAAACAACAAACAAATGAGCCTTTCTAAGTTAATGGTTCCCTGGCAGGCCAATAAAAATATCCCTTCTCTCTCTAGTTTTGGATGTCCTCTGAGTAGAAGGCCTGCTAGCCCAATTCTTTAGTACTACCAGAAGTTCAGAATTGGCTCTTTAATGTAGATGATCTTATCGATTAATAATTTGGACATTGGCTCAGAGTCTCTGAGAAAATGTCTTCATGAAACAAGAGGTTTGGATTAAACCATCTTTCTTTAAGGATTCCTTAAACCAGTTGAATAACAAATGCATTGCTGGATGTCAAATGAAGTTTACTTTTGACATCAAAATTAGCCATTCACCCTTAAAGACCAAATTATAAAGGGGTTTTGATGCATTAGAACATGAGTGAAAACGCTGGGAGAATGATTGGATGATTTCCATGAATCAAGTTCCATTTTTAACTCTAGGAAGTTATTAAAAGAGGCTGTGCTTACCTTAGAACCCCAGAAAGGCAAGTGTTTATGGGATCTCAGTGAACCTAATTTCTTGTAATATCTTGCACAGATATTTGCTACAAACGATTTTTAATCCTATCAACTTTATGAAGGCTAAATTTCAAGCAGATGCCTTTTGAATATCAACATGTAATAGGAGTAGATTGAATCCGACATTTCATCAATCATAACTCTGCAACCAGTACTGGGGCATGAGATGAACTGAGAGTCCTAATGCTGACCCTCAGGCAACACCTGATCCTGTCCTGGATCTGAAGTCTTTAATGATGGCTGAAATCATAAGCCACCACTGCTAGATGAGTTTCATTTACGTAAGTCATGTACTTAGATACCCAGTTTTGCTTATATGAGGTTGGAACCTGATCGCTCTGCTTTGAAACATGACATCAGCAGCAGATACCAACCCACAGGCAAAATGGTGAGTGCTGATAGGGTAGTTGCTACCATACTTATAGTAATTATTGGAAAATAGGCTGTTTACTGAAGCAAATTTTCTATACTGATTAAATGGGTCTTTTGTCAAAGAGCATGCCTTCTCAAACATATACTTCAAAAGAGAAGAAGTTTTGCCCTAGGCTTCCAAGTATTGACAATAGTCTCACGCTTCTTTTTAAGGGAAGCTAATGTTAAATTGAGCTTGTGATTCAGTAGCATATTTAGAGCCCACGAGTATTGCAAAGATTCAAGATGGCAGCATTCCCAAGAATCTGGCACTTGAACAAGAAAGCTTAGGTGGCAGTTTGCAGAGAAGTGTTGGAGTCAACTAATAATAACATAAAGTTCATCATCTTTGGGAAATTATCTTATTTGCCTGAGGATGAGGACAAGTTTTCAACAATCAATGGAAAACAACTTTTAACCACCACTGATACCACACCCATTCAACAGATATCAACGTATGGTAAGAATTATGTTTTAAGAAGCGTGAAACCTTGTAAAAAAGTAATGTGGCTTCAGGAATTTTAACATTTCACTTATTTAATAACAAGAGTTTACAGCTATCTACAGTAATTTCAAACATATTGATATGACTAACTTGATTCTAGAGTTTACTTTTTCATTTACAGAAACTTTACAGTATTTGCATTACTTATGATGGGAATTAATGGGTAATCATACAAGGTTTTGCCTGTGGACAACAATTTTAGCCAATTATATTCATACAGTGAAGAATGAGTATATTTTCTATTGTTCTAAATTCTTTCAAAATTGTCACACTATATACGTATACGACCTAGGAAACACATGACATATGGCAGAGCTACCTATGGAATGTGGGCTAATTTCTTTTGGCACTTGGGCGGTTGCCACAGAATTTTTGGTATCATATCTTTGGAGAAATGATCCTTTTAGAAGTTAAGCTCTTTGAGAGGAGGGATCTTTGTCCATTTCGTTCACTGCTTCATCCTCAACTCCTAGATCAATGCCTGGCACATGGGAGGTACTCTAAAGACATCAGCTAAATGAAGGAGTGGCCTCTAGAAAATTCATACCAGATCCTTGTTCCCTGCAGAACTGACAATAAGTCCTGTATAGCTGCAGCAATCCAGCAGGAAAGGAACAGAAATGCCTGTTTTAGAGATTGCTCACCTTCTAGGTTTGTTAAAAAACACATGTCATGTGGGACAACACTACACTAACCCAAACAGCCCCCTTAAATCCTTTCTGGAACAGGTCAGGAAATGCATAAACACAGTTTGATCACAATGTTAGACTAATCAGAACACCCTCTTTTCACATCACTCCAGATAAAGAGAGAATGTTGGCAACAGTGGCTACTAATACATATTAAGTGCTTTCTACGTGTAGTATCTTAATCCTCATCCCAAGTTTTTGAAATAGGTGCTCATTATGTTTTCTAGGTAAGGCAAAGGAAACTTAGAGAGAGGAAGGCCCATGCTCAATCCCCACTGCTAGTAGAAATAGGCCAGACCCACCAAGCTCAATCTGGGTTCTTTTTTTTTTTTTTTTGAGTTGAAGTCTCACTCTGTCGCCCAGACTGGAGTGCAGTGGCATGCTCCCGGCCACCGCAGCTTCGACTTGCTGGGCTCCAGCGATCCTTCCGCTCAGCCTTCCAAGTAGTTGGAACTACAGACATGTGTTACCACACCCGGCTAATTTTTTGATTTATTGTAGAGATGAGGTCTCGCCAAGTTGCCCAGGCAGGTCTCGAGCCCGCGGGCTCCGGCAATTCACTCACCTTGGCCTCCCAAAGCATGGGATTACAGGCTGAGTCACTGAGCCCGGCAATCTGGGTTCTTAAATGCTACGCTCGCTGCCCACCTCTAACTGTGATATTTTTGTGATGTTTACAGCTGGAATTTTGAGTCATAAAACTTGATATGAAGTCCTTATAACAAAGGTTCAGCTCCATTTTATGTGGAGGAGTTAGGAGCCTTACCTCATCTTTCATTTCCTTAGCAGTTCTCAATTCTCCTTTAAGCTTTAGCATTTTCTGAGCTTTGTTATAAACCTGAAAAAGTCCAAATGTTTAAGATGGAAAAAGCATAAATGAACCTGGTCCTTTAAAGATTTTCCCAGCTGGATCTATGCCCTTAGCAGGGGGGTTGGAAAATTTTCCTGAAATGTCAGCAGTACCTATTTGCTTATCCATCTGTTTGTGTTTTCAAAAGTGTGTTAAAACCTTTGCATGGCAAGACCATGATTTTACATCTTTTCCAGAAAACCACTACTTGATGGACCAAATCGTTTCTTTTTTTTTGAGTTGGAGTCTCACTCTGTCGCCCAGGCTGGAGTGCAGTGGCACACTCATGGCCATCACAACCTCGACCTGCTGGGCTCAGGTGAGCCTTTGCCTCAGCCTTCCAAGTAGCTGGAACCACAGGTGCACGCCACCACGCCCAGCAAATTTTTTGATTTATTGTAGAGACCAGGTCTCGCCAAGTTACCCAGGCTGGTCTCAAGTCTGTGGGCTAAGGCAATCCTCTCACCTCCACCTCCCAAAGTGCTGGGATTACAGGTGTGAGCCACCGTGCCTGGCTAACTAGTTTCTGAATTCACCCTTCTTGGACAGCAAAAGGTCTGAATCAAGCTCACTTTCTAAATTTCTGAATATTCTATGACTCAGTTATAGTTAACATTATGCACTTACTATGAAGTAGATGTACTCTGTATGACCCAACTTTATTCTCACAATACTCCTGGGATGCAGGTGCTATTACTATCTTTATTTTACAGAGAAGGAAACTGAGGCCCAGAGAGGCGAATTGACTTACCCAAGGTCACATAAGCTCTCTTACTACTCCATGAAGTGCTTCTATTAATTTTATAACTATTAATTTGAACTATCTGATGATGTTTTTGAAGTATCAACTTGCTATAATGTTGGTGCTTGTAAAGTTAGGAAACTTGTTAAGTGCTGAAAATTATCTAGATAGAGAGCCTCCAAGGAAGCCAAAGATCCTTGCACATGTATGTGTAAGTATAGGATGATACACTTGAGGTCATAATGAACTGAACTTATTAAAACAATCAAATTCATTATGCTTTAAATGCTAAGACTAGAGATAACTTCCACTAGGTACTTACCTGCAGAATAGTTCAAAGAATGAGAAGGTATCAAAATACTCATTCTTTGTAATGAACCACATCCCCCAACCCTAACATAAGTGGAGAGGAAGAAAGAATGCTGGTGACACATGGAATTTAGAATGTTTCATGGATTCGTATTCTGATTTCCTGCATTGTGTGCCCTCTTCAACCTTCATGCAGAGGTGCATCATGGGAATGGTGATGTAGCTCAAGTATCTGGTAGGGATAGGCTAGGTGCTGCTGCAGTACCATACAACCCTCAAATCTCAGTGACTTAAAGCTATAAGGGTTTGTTTTTCACTCATGCTACATGTCCTTTATGAGTCAGCTGGGGTTCTGTTCCACAGTGCCCTCCATCTGTTCCTCATTGTCCTCAGCTGGTGGAACTTCTGTTAATCTAGTATGTTTCCTGTTGCCATGGTAGCAGAGAGGGGACTTGGTGCTCACATACTGCTTCCTGCCTCTTTTTAATTTTTTTATCTTTTTATTTTAGATTCAGGGGGTACACATGTGTATTCGTTATATGGACATATTGTGAAACAGGGGGGATTGGGTCTCAGGTGGCCCATTCTCCAGATAGTGAACATTGTGTCCCAGAGGTAGTTTCTGAACCATAACCTCCCTCCCCCTTTGTTAGTGTCCCCAGTGTCTGCTATTTCCATCTTTGTGATCGTTTAGCTCCCACATATAAGTGAGTTTGGTTTTCTGTTTCTGAGTCAGTTTACATAGGATGATGATCTCCAGCTCCATTCATGTTGCTACGAAGGACATGATTTCATTTTTTAATGACTCTGTAGCAAATGTCAAGAATAGACATCTCTCAAAAGAAGATATACAAATGGTCAACAAAAATATTTTTTAAATGCTCAACATCACTCATAATTATGGAAATACAAATTAAATCCACAATGAGATACCACTTTACGCCAGTCAGAATGACTGTAATTAAAAAACAAAAAAAACCAATAGATACTAGCACAGATGCGGAGAAAAGAGAACACTTATACACCATTGGTGGGAGTGTAAATTAGTACAACCTCTATGGAAAGCAGTATAGAAATTACTCAAAAAACTAAAAGTAGATCCAGCAATCCCACTACTAGGTATCTACCCTAAGGAACAGTGGTCATTACCTTAGAAAGACACCTGCACTGGCATGTTCATTGCAGCACAACTCACAATTGCAACGATGTGGAATCAACCTAAATGCCCATGGACTGATTAGTGGATAATGAAAATGTGGCATACACATACTGGTTCTTAAAGCAGAAGTGACACATTTTACTTCTGCTTCCACTTCACTGGCCAAAACCAGTCACATGGCCATGTCTCACTTCTTTCTTTGTTCCCCCAAAGAAATACAGGCATACGCAGAGATAGTACAGGTTCAGGTCCAGACTATGGAAATAAAGCGAATATCACAATAAGGCAAGTCATGCACACATCTTGGTTTCCCCATGCATATAAAAGTTATGTTTATGCTATCTTGTCATGTTAAGTGTGCAATAGCATTATCTCTAAAAAATGTGCACAACTTAATTTTATTTATTTTTTATTTATCTGTAGACATGTCATGAAGAGACTGTGATATGAGTATGTCTATCTTTATGGTCACTGTCATGTAATGCTTGGCACTGTGGGTGGTGAGCCCTGAATAAATGTTGCCTGCTGTCATGATCTGACCAGGACCGGGTGACGAAAAAAAAAAAATACTGACACAGAGACACAAAGTGAGCACATGCCCTTGGAAAAAATGGTGCTGATGGCCTTTCTTGACACAAAATTGCCACAAATCTTCAATTTGTAACAAAAATAATGATCTGACCAGGCACACTGGCTCACGCTTGTAATACTAGCACTTTACGGGGAGCCAAGGTGGTAAGATTGCTTGAGCCCAGGAGTTTGAGACCAGCCTAGGCAACATAGGGAGACCTTGTCTCTACAAAAATAAAAAATTAGCCAGGTGTGGTGGCGCACATCTGTAGTCCCAGTCATTTGGGAGGCTGAGGTGGAAGGATTGCCTGAGCCCAGGAGATTGAGGCTGCAGTGAGCCGTGATTGTGCCACTGCACTCCAGCCTGGGTGACAAAGTGAGACCCAACTCAAAACAACAACAGCAAAAACAAATATCCGCAAAAAGCAGTAAAGAGCAATAAAACGAGTACTGGTGAACATCACACATGGCTTCCTCCCTAAGCAAGCTAGAAGATTAAAACTAGTGTGGCATAAAAGAACACTAAACAGGGCTCTCTGCCACCAGGCTTCTAAATCTGGTTCAGCACCTGACTTGAGGAGTGGCCTTTGGAAAGACCCTCATCTCTGAACCTTCATTTCTGTCTCTGTAAGCTGCGGAGCTGTACTAAGTGACCTTTACTGTCTTTCTCAGCTCTAATGTTTACTGAGTCGGTGCTCTACCATTCCGGGCATGGTTCTTTAGTAGGAACGATGAATGCAACCCAAGCACTACACAAAAGTTGTAATGAAACAAATGTATCCTTGAGAATAATATTTCCCTACAGGAAAACCCACTGGATAGTTAGGAGACGACTCTCAGATCAAATGAAATCTTGCCCACAAGACAGAAAAATACTCTTCTAAATTGTGATGGTTTCATCCACTTGGTATTACATAGCTATAGTTGCCAGGGCCAAGAGCGTTAAAGTGGAAGGCATAGTTTCTGGTAGTCACATGAAAATATGTTGGACTTTACTAAGTAAAATAAGCTGAAAGAAAAACAGAGCTGAATTTTGTTCCACGAAGGAGTCACAGGAATCCTGTGAGTTATTAACAATAGCACTGGGCAATTTGAAAGTGCTTATGATGAAAACAATGGAAGGGCTATATGATAAATTTTTGATGCATTTGACAGTAATGTTTGCCAGATGGATAAGAAGGAGTGCTTTGCGGGAGCCTCAAATGCTCTTTGAAACAGTCATGTGCACCTTTGCAGTGCTCTCTGAGGAGTGTGGATGGAGAAATATTTTATATAGGAGGGGGCACGTTCCAGAAGGAGGGACTCTCTACCAGATCACCAGTTACTGATTTTCTGGACCCAGGACTTTGTTAATGTCATCTCTCTTCTCAAAGCTTTGTTCTTAGATCCTCTGTTCTGTCTCCTGCATCTCTATTGAAATCTGCACTTCCTCATGCCTCGTCAGCTGTATCTAGGAAACTGCTTTCTTATATTCAAAACTCCTGCCATCTGCTTTGCAAAATAGACCTTCTCTTGGCAACAGTTGTGCCTAGAAAAAATGGTTATAGTGAAAACAAAATCATAGGCAGAGCTTCTAGTTTTGTCCTTCTCCTAGCCCACTCTCAGAGCACCCTGTGTATGCCCAAGAAACACCTAACACTATACCTTGAATGGGTGACTAATGCAGCAGATATCAAGTCAGGTTTGCATACATGCACACACACAAAGTCATGCTTTTTCTATTACTCCATCTCTTTATTGAGCCCCATTTCCCCCAAGTGGCAGAAAACACAATCTTATTTATTTTTGAGGAAGCTGATCATTTTTTTCAGGTTAAAAATAAATCAGTTTATAATTTCCCCAACTTCTTTAAGGTCTCTCCAGAGTGTTCCTAAGTTCTAGGGTCCTAGGTTGGATCCTGGCTCAGGGGCAGCTTCTGGTCCATGGTCGTGGGCATCTCTCCCAGCTGGAGTGTGCTGAGATGACTTTGTCATGGTCAGTAGGTCACAGATACTGTGGATCTTTCTCATTCTATGGGCTTTGGGTCAACTGACCCTCTCTCACCCTTCAAAGATGTTCCTCCATGCTCCTGATGAAGAAACCTACTTGCACACGTGCACATAACCACACATGTACACACACGAGTGATCTCAGGCCTTCTCTTCTTAGACTTGTTCTACCAACATTCTATGTTTTGCCTTGAAAGGTGTTGAGAAGAAGGGCATCGGATGCTTGGATCCTGCTTACTTTCCTGGTATTGATGAAAAGTCCTGTCATCCTTGGATCACTAAACCTATCTGGGGATTGTTTTCCCTCATTTTTGTCACATCTTGTAGTTCTCATTAGGGTTTAACTTTCTTGTTAATGTCCCAACTCTTCTATCCCTCCTCTCTCCTAACTCAGAGGTTATTTGTTTAGTTTTGGAGAGAGAAAGGAAAAAGGGTACAAGTGAACACATTCAGTGAAACCCAGGTTGAGTAGGGCAGGATATGAACATATCAGTTGGTGCTTTATGCACCTTCTGTCCACATTCGGTTGCATAAGTTTGGTAATCACAGATTGCTTACATTGGCTCTCTCCCCAAGGAACTGGTAACTCCCTGGGCATATGATTGACTACTGGTCTTAGAGTAACATGGTCAATTTCTTTCTTTTTGTCTTCTTCAGGACCTAGATAGAGGATTATCCAGGATCTGTTTTTCCTCATCTGAACCATGTTTCTGGGTTTTCATGGAAAGAGATGCTATTCAGTTTAAGGTTATCCTTGGGGGTTAATTAAAACTAACTTAGATTTACCTACACTCAGCCATAAGTCTTTCCTTTACTTATGCTGGAATTTTTCTCCAATGTTCTACCTCCTACCAATGAAAAGAGTATGATCAATCCTAGAGCTCTTAATTATTGAAAGGATGAGAGAATGTTCAACATTTCTTCTATTTTTAAAAATATGTGAGCACTTTGTACACTAAATTATTTCTAACCAGAATGCATTGTCGGAGCCATAGTGTGCAGAGGCTTGGCATGAAGAGAGTCCACATTTTTGGATCCATACCCAGTTCTAAAAGAGAAAATCCCTGATCATGAAGGGTATATCTGATGGGGGAAGGTGGTAGGAGGAGATGATGCTGGAGATGGTTTTTCCAGGATTGGTTTTTGCAGGAGATGGTTTTTGAGGTTCTGCACAGTAGCATAGAGAATAGGAACCTGACATCAAGGTCACTGACTGAGTCGTAGTCCAACCCCAGAACTGAGGTTCTTCTTCTTCTCAAGAGAGCTATGCTAGTTGGTCTCTTCAGAAAGAGACTCTGGAATGACAGAAGAAATGAGGGACCAGGAGGAGCAGGAGAAGGAATCCCAGGATTTATTAGACTCACTGTCATAAAGCAAAAACTTTTCCCCATCACTGTTTGCTTTGGCACTTTTCACAGAGGCTGTTTGTTGCCTTTTCTAACACCCATTCTCTTTATCTTCCTTGGCAAAAGAACACTAATTTTATTGGGGTGCTT